TAATAATAATAATAATACTAATACTAATAATAGCAAGAGTAATAGTAAAAGTAATAGTAAGAGTTCCAGGAATAGAAATATCAATAGTAATAATAGTAATAGTAGTCGTAGTTAGTCGTCGTCGAAAGGATGTGTTTTTTTCCGAGAGTGTGTTCGAGTTCGAGTTCCAGTTCGAATTCGAGAGGGTTGTTTTTTTTGCCAGGGGATTGCCGGTTCAGGTTCGAGTTTGAATTATTCCGGGGGGGGGGGAACCGGTTCGAGTTCGAATTCCGGGCGGGGGGGGTCGGTTCGAGTTCGAGCTCGAGTTCGAATTCGAGAGGATGTTGTTTTTTTTCCCGTGGGGGGATGGTTCAGGTTCGAGTTCGAGTTCGAGTTCGAGTTCGAGAGGACCGAGAGACGACGGGCGGGGTCGAGCTCAAATTCGAATCGTATAGCAAAGGAAGTCGGATGGAATTCAAATTCGAATCGATTTTTTTCGGGGGGAAGAGGGGGGGGGTCGAGTTCGAGTTCGAGTTCGAGTGGGGTTCATAATGCAAAATAACCCCTATAGAACGCCTACTTAACCTTCTATATGAATATCAGTTTCCATTGTCTCTTCCATTATCCCAATATAGCCCCTGTATGAGCCACTGTCTAAACTCCTAGTATCCCCCTTAAGAACCCCTATAGTAGGCCCCTATTTACTCCCCTATATAACCCCCGTTTAAGGAGTTTAGACTATAGCCCATGTAGAGAGATCCCCAAACCCTATACCCTAAATAGTAGTTTCCATTTTATTTTCCATTCTCCCAATATAACCCCAATATAACCCTAAACCCTAAACCCTAAACCCTAAATAGGTTTTAGCATATTACCCTACTGGCAGCTGGCTGAGAGCAGCTCTGGTCAAATGAGTTGATGTCCCATAGCCAGCCTTCACAATGGTTTAGGGTTTAGGGTTACAAGGAGGGACCCCAAGGACATGTACTTGGAGGTGCATGGGACGTAGGAGATACTTATAACTGGGCCTATTTCCCTACTTATAATCCCCCTAAATGCTCTTACGGGGGCTACCCCAATTGTAAGTAGGGCTATAAGCCCAGTTATAAGTAGGTACTAAGTCCCATGCACCTCCAAGTAGAGCTTCTACAAGGAACTATACGAGGGGGGGTTCAAAACAATTTTGCAGGGTCATTTTGATAAGCCCCCACAACTCAACGACGCTCCTTGTACGGCAGTACGGTGCTCGTACAATGCCAGCAGTTGTCCGAGCCTGACAGAATCAACATTTCAGGATCATCCCACATGCTGCTACACCATAGGCATTGCATGGACTTATATATGTTTCATTCACTCTCACAATGACGGAGAATCACATGCAAAAAAGAATGGAAATAAATAGAAACCGTGCTATCTAGGTATGGATTGGCAGAATTACCAATATTGTAGACACTAGTGAACCGATACAGGCCTAAATAACACCAAACAAGCTTATCTGAGCCTGCATAAACCTTCATGGCCCGATGTAACCCTGTATAAGCACATATATATGTAATATGTAACTCCATTCTAATTCTAGATAACCTTATATACCCACCCTATATAACTCCATTCAACCCTCTATAGCCCTGTAAATGCCTATAAGGCCTATATGGGCAGTTGTCAAAATTATGGCCCCTTTTTGACCCAAAAAGGGACCATAATTTTGACAACCACCCACATACCGCTTTATGTTATAGAATTTCAAAATTAATAGCCGGGTAATTACTCAGGGCCAGGCCAATGTGCGTTGCATACGGGGAGCAACAGCGACCTAGGGTTTAGAGTTTAGGGATCTAGGATTTAGGGGTTTAGGGTTTAGGGATCTAGGATTTAGTGGAAACAGGGTGTAAGGCTTGGGGTTTAAGGGATTTAAGATTTGGGGTGTACGGGATATAGGGTTTAGGGGATATAAGGCAAGATCATGGAAAATCAAGGGAGACAACATGGAAATGAACCTGAACCTTGGATTATAAGGGTCATAAAGGACTAATGTGCATCGCTGACACGGCTGCGCTCAAACACGCAGCTGTCTCTTAACTTACTGGTGCTCAAGGGGGGTTGAGGGTTAAGGGTTTACGGTTTAGGGCTTCATGGAGTGTGGAGGAGTGAATCCAGGGACTATTACAGGGGTTATGGGGATTCTTAGAAGGCCTGATAAACCAGCAAGTCATGCACTCGTCCAGGGACCTTCATAAGGGTTAGAATAAAATGGAAAAGAGCATGGAAAAAGGATTCGAAATTGGGTTGGGGGATGAGGGTCTCCAGATATTCGGAATACCCTTTTAGGCCTCATAACCTAAATCCTAAACCCTCAACCCTAAACAATAAACCCTAAACCCTAAACAACAAACCCTAACCCTAAACCCTTAACAATAAACCCTAAACACTAAACAAAAAAAACCTACACCAATAGCTGAGGCATAAGCAGCGAAGGTCTGTCGCCAGGGAATGTTTTATGCGCAATCAACTTTTCCGGGATGCCGTCTGCCTGTTTCTAGGGTTTAGGGTTTAGGGTTAGAAGCAATCACTTGGAGGGTCAGGGGGACTTCGTACCTAGACCTATAAATAATTGCCCCAGCTAACCTACTTATTCAGTCCCCCTGACCCTGACCCTCCAAGTACCCTCCCCCAAACTACGAACATGGAAGCCAACATAGCGTTTCGGGTTGAGGGTTGCTTGAGACGGGGACCATATCAGCTTCCATGTTTGTTTGGGGAGGGTAACAAGCACCGACATTTGCATGGCATAATCCAGCAAGACTGTAAGTGTAAGACTCTTGATGACTGAGCTCCTACTTTGGGACCCTGGTACCGGCACACTGCAAAAGTCATGCCATCTTTCAAAATACGAGGGTTCCACAAATTCAGGGTCTCAAATATGGATCCCCAATACTACAATCCTTAGCAAAAGGGATCCCAAATTTCGGGAAATGCTCATAGCTGTAAGGGACTACAAGAAGAAACGGTCATGTGTGAAGCGTTTTCCTGCCTGCCCGCGATGAACATGAACTAGTTGCAGGTTGCAAAGCAAGGCTCATGTGATGGGTTACCTACTCCTAAACACTAAACTCTAAGCCCTCTATACTTGCTCCAAGGCTTCCCCCGACTTGGCCTTAACTTAACGCACATCGAGTATCGGGGAGCCTTGGGGGTAGCATGGGAAGCAATGATTATGTAATCTTTCACGCGGGCCTCTGTTGACCCCTGATAAATCAAACTTCAAGGATCCAAGGGTACCTTTCAAAAGATCCACATATTGGAGCTTAATAAATACTACTTGGGTATAGGGTTTAAGGAGCTCAGGGGTTGGGGGCTTTGGGGTTTAGGGGTTTAGGGTTTAGGGGTTTAGGTGAAGGTGCGTCGGACTTAGAAACTACTTATAACGGGGCTTACATCCCTACTTATCATTGGGGTAACCTACAAAACGCCCAGTTCGGGAGCCTGTACTATGAGTTGGGTATAAGCCCGGTTCTATAGGCTTCAGGGTTTTGGGTTTTGGGTTTAGTTCCTAAATCCTATGAACCTTCAAGTAGCACGGACCTCCATTATACCCCAAATACACTCATGTTCAGTCAGAATTCCGGAAGAGGGGCCCTTAGCGTTCGATTTTGTGAAAAGCTTGACTGCTAGAAACTACTCATTTAACTTGCAAATAATCACCACCTAATTGGCCCGTACCCCTATCAAGCCACTTTAAACGGGGATCCTTAAACCTAAGCCCTAGAGCCTCAAAACCCCCTCGACTACCGCAAGAGCAAAGAGCCCTTCGGCCTTCAACTCATCCGCAGTCTTCCCAAGAGCCAAAGCATCTTCCGCAAGCGTGCTTTAAGGTTATAATCCCCCTTAAGTATATAGAGGATGGGGCATATGGGGATCTTATTATAATAGACCCAAAGCCATATTCTATCTACTTAAGGGGGACTGTGTTTTTGGCCAACTCTTTTCCATCTGCTGGATTGAGGTATAGAGGTTCTGGTTCGAAGTTAGGACCCAAGAAACAGGTACGGGATGCTGGGAGTTCAGGCTATAGCTCATATCGGATGTAGCCGCACGGTTCGGAGTTTTTATGGTTTAGAGTTTTTAGTTTTAGTCCGGGGTTTCAGCCTTGATTCACGATTTGGGGCGTAGGATTTAGGGTTTTGGGCTTAGGGTTTGGGAACAAAAGCCAGCCTTCGACTGGTAACAATTCGAATAAGCACAAGAGTGATACCATGGTAAGAATCACGGCAATACGCATAATGGGACTTAACATAGGAGATGCGAGGTGAATGCAGCTTACCACCACCACCACCACCACCACCACCACCACCACCACCACCACCACCACCACCACCACCACCACCACCACCACGGCGATGACTGCAACGACGACGACGACTTCTACTAGTAGGCACCCGGCCGGGGATGAAAGCCCCGCAAACGCGACACTGTGCTTGAGGCCCTGAAAGGGCTGGCAAGCATAGTGAATTTGAAAGCCGGTGAAATCGTGTATCGCCCCATTTTTGGACACCGTCGCGGTGTCCAAAAACGAGGCGATGCAAGATTTTGTAGCATGCCATGTTTCAGGTCAAGAATCAAACATGGAAACTTGGAAAAACTAACATGGCAAGCATGCTCAAGCACAAGCTGCTGACGCTCCTTTTGCTACAGCTTCTGCTGCTACTACGACCACCAACACTGATACTGACAATGCTTTCGATACTGCTACCACAGCAGTGATACAAGTGATCGTACCCAACATCAACTTTGGGTTGCTGTGAAAACGCTCGAAGAACCTTTGTAAGGAAAACGTGTCTTTAGAAGTCCATCATACTGTAACTTTACTCCAGTTCCTTCAATCCCTAAACCCTCAATCCTATATGAGCTACAGTCACTATTGCCCACATAATTGAAGGACATGGCTTTCTATCAGGAAATAGATTAGGAACTATACTAAACTACCGAAAGGACCTCTATCTCCACACTTAGTGGTCCCTGGATAACCGTATTTTTGACAATAGCTCATATAACACCTACATAAGCGGTATAACCCCTGCAAAGAATTCAAATTCGGGAGCAGCAACCCAAAGTAACATGCTGACCGTACCCTAAACCCATACTATGCTGGTGTCTAAACCCAATACTCTGAACGCTGAAACTCTAAACGCCAAAAATACTAAACCCCAAAACTCGAAACCCTAAAGCCCTAAACCTTTAAACCCTTAACCTTCAACCCTAAACCCTAAACCCTACCCTAAACCCTAAACCCTTAACCAAAACTATGCTACAATCCATGGCCTGGCTGGGCAAAGAAGTTGGACATGAGCTCGTCATGGTTGGAGACAGACTCGCCAGGTAGCTCAACCTGGGCTAACTGGCCAATGCAGGTCAAGGATTTACGGTGTAAGGTTTAGGGTTTAAGGTTTAGGGCATGGGGTCTAAGGTTTTTTTCTTTTGCAGCTCCTTTTTCCGGGTTTAAGGTCTAGGATTAAGGGTTCAAGGTTTAGGGTTTATGGTTTTGGCTTTAGGGGATTTAGGACTCGACATCTCCAGGGGCTAGGGCAGGTAGAATGTTTTGAGCCAAGAAAACGAAGGGCTTACAGGGGCTGCATAGGGATATCTAGTGTTGTATGGCTGCTACATAACATGTATGGCCCGAAACCCTAAACCCCAAACCCTAAACCCTCATAGGGTTTTGGGCCAGCGCAGGTTCAAAGTGTTTGGTGTGGCACCTTTTCTCCAGAGTCTGCGAAGATGCTTTACACCAAGATGCACAGGTTAAGGCATATCATAGGGGTTACAGGAGGACATGGGCTATGTTGTAGGGTATATATATAATTTTTCCAGAAAGAGAGAGACGGATGCAGCATAGGGTATATGAGGTTCAGGGATTTGGGTTAATGTTTCTTGGTGGTCAAACCAAGTAGGATTGTATGCTTCTTATAACATGCTATACACAACAGGCTGATATGATCTCACTCTATATTGATGACCATAATGTACCCCCAATAGAATACTACTCAAAAGTTTCGACAGTCTGCTGGGATTACAAGCTCAAGCGCAAAGGAGAGGGGCTGTTGTAGTCATTATCATGTCAATTTCTCAGATCAACAACTTTACAGCTGTTACAGTAGGGCAAGGTCTTCTTCTATGCATGATGAACCCCAAACCCCAAACCGTTCAAACGTTATATATTACTATATTGTTATATTACTATATTACTACATTATTACTATATTGCTACATTATTACCTTGGTTGGCCTTTAGAGGCCCATGAAAAATGCTAGTATAGATGGGTCCCTATAAAACCCATAAGGGAAAATGTCTAAGGAATCCAAAGGCCTACCCAGTTACTAGCGTGATGAGCTTATCTGAGCTGAGAGCCGGGTTCTGGGAGGCAGCAAAGCCAATGAAATGGGAAGGAATGACGCGTCCCTGATGCATCAGCTGGTAGAAGGAGTGCTGGCCTTGGCGCAGCAATAGGGCGGTTTCCCAAAATTCGGGGTACCTTTTTGGGTGTCCTAGTATTAAGGATTATAGAATTTTGGGGGGTCTATATTGGGGTCCCCCTATTTTGGGAAATTACCATATGTGAAGTTCGCAAAATGATCCCTGCAAACTCCTAATAAGGACCCCCATAATTCTCTCATGACCTCGCAGAATTCTTACATCCCTAGGGTGCATCAGCTGACAGGAGTGTTGTTGGCCTTGGCGAACAAGATTTTCGGATCTGTGGCTGCTGGGGCCCCCCATAGTACAAATCAAGATACATCCAAACACGAGCAATATAACAAAACTTATATGAGCTGAAGTCCAAACTCTTAGTATCCCCCTTAATAACCCCTATAATGGTCCCCTATACAATCCCCTATATACTCCTTTAAGGAATTTAGAATAAAGCGCACATCAACCCCTATTTCTGGGTCTTTGGCCGTTCGTGCCGGGCTCACCGAAATTGATGGCGCCCGTCCCCACCGAGACTTCGCTACCATCCTTAGATAGTCTCTGCATATTGATACTGGGATACATGTAAAGGCCCTATGAAGATTGAATTCTCAGGGGCTACAAGAAAGTAAATAGGGGTTCTAGTCCAAATAACTCAACTTTTTCACAAGAATACCCCAGGATAATGGATATTCTGACATTTCATTATCGGAACTGCGAAGGGAATATCATGAGGATACTGCAGATGTGAAATTCGTACGAAGTTGTACATCTGGCAAAATGTGCATGAATATCGCTATGATCTAATTCAGGGACTGCTTGTCCCACGTCAAGCTGCCCATGGACCTTCCAGTAGATTTAAGCTAACCGTCAGGATGCATGGGGTTTTAAACTTGTTGTCCGTTTGATTGTCCATTCGAGTCTCCAATATTGGTAGTTATTCAACCTGTGTAGACTACAGCATACAAAGGCCTTCCCTGACTCATGATACTACTTACTAATCCTCCTCGGTTTAAGGTTTGGGGTTTAGGGCTTCTGATTCTGGACCCTCCTAAACCCCCACCCACCCTCTATCAGAGACTTGTAAACGCTCTTAGGGGAACTGGGGTAAAAAAAGGCTGTGTTTCTAAATGCCATGACTTCCAGAACATCTTAGGGCAGGGCCATCTGAACGCGCTTCCCGTTGCCTGGGCGGATCCCCCTGGAAGAAGTCAGCCCATCCCTCTTAGGGCCTAAGGACGCTTTTGAAACCGGAGGACACTTGGTTTAGGGTTTAGGGTTTAGGGTTTAGAAGCCCTAAAACCTAAACCCTAAACCCTAATACCCGAAACCCTAAACCCTAAACCGCGGGGTTCTGGGTTTGCAGCTTAGGCATTAGGGTGAGGAATGCAGACTTGATTGTAGGAGGGACTACTATTGGGATCAATTTCCTCCACTTCCTGCTACAGTAACCAACCCTAAAACCTAATCACTAAACACTAAGCCCTAAACAAGAAAGCGTAAAAGCGTGCGTTCGGTACAGGATATGAGGTCTGGAGTATGCCAGTGTTGCTCAAGGAGGGTTCAGGGTGCTGGGAGTGTGAAGGAGTTTTGGGAGCCAAGGGGTCTCGAATCTTCAGAAATGGCCCGTCGAGTTTCTGCTGATTCTCTTGCACAATACCTAGTTTAATGTTCTCCCTCAAAGGGCCCACATGCAAACACTCACGAATGGTTCGAGGGAACTCTACATGTGCTCTCCCCAGGCTTGACAAGAACCCTAACCACCAAAACTCTCAAACCCTAAACCCGAATCCGCCAGGCCACTTTCCATGTCCAACTGCTGGATGTGGGGCACGAAGCGCACCAGAGCCTGCAACAGATGCCAGCTTGGAGAGTTTGGGGGTTGGCTAGGCAGCCATGTTACGAAACACAAGCGTTATCGATCAGTGTAGCCATCAGGGACTATAGGATACTACCTGGCTATACCTTGAGATGTTCTCCACCCTGTGGTTTATAGCTATCAGGATATATAGGAGCCGTAGTCTCAATTCCTAGTACCGGCCTTAATTACCCCTATAGTGGTTCCCTACAGAATCCCCTTTGTAAGCCCCTTTAAGGGGTTTTCATCATGGCTCACATATTTAGGCCTTACAGTCTAGGTGTTCTTACCAACTGCCATGAGGCCTGGCAGTACGGGAGGATGGCAACACCCTCATGCTCCATCATGCTGCAATTCCAAACCTTGGCTATCCAAGGAAGCGGAGCGCGTTAGGGGTTTAGGGTTGAGGGTTTAGGGTTTAAGGTTTAGGGTTTAGGGTTGAGGGTTTAGGGTTTAAGGTTTAGGGTTGGGTTGAGGGTTTAGGGTTGAGTTCAGGGTTTAGGGCTTAGGGCCTAAACAGGTACCAATATCATCTTGAGGTCTGCTTGGGGTAGCCTACACCATCATCATACAGGGACTTTAGAACCATGGGATTTGGTAGCTGTTCCCTACAAACCCCAAATTATGCAAGGTTTCCATTTCATGCTTCATTCTATTTTCATTTTAGCATCCATTATACATCCGTACATACAGATATATATATATACATATATGTGTGTATGTGTATGTATATATATGTAGATCCATATCTATATATATATATATGTATAAACATTACCTGAGGCCCCTATAGTCTTGCTTCTGTGTCATAGCAGGGAACGGAGGAATGGATACCCACAGCAGCCCGTACACAATCCCCAATCATATGCTGCGTACCATCTTCTTTTCAATTCCTTCATTCCCTGCTGACATTCAGCAAGAGCCCTAAATCCTAAACCCACAAGATAAGAGAAGCACGTCCAGCAGGCCAACAATCAGAGGCAAGTTTTCCTTCGCGGGGGCCTGGTGAATGGGCAACCGCTAAGACAGTACAAGGGTTTGGGGGTTTAGGGTTTAAGGTCAAGGGTTTAGGGATTTCGGGGTTTGGGGTTTGCGGTTTAGGTTTCAGGTTCAGAATTTGAAGTTTGGCATCTAGGGCTTCAATCCGACAAAAAAAACTCAAGCAATCAAGCCTTCTGGAAGTGCTCGTCCATGGCATGCCTTGACTTACGGGCGGTTGCCATGGAATGAAATCTAAGGACTTTTGGAGGGACCCCTAATAGGGACCCTTGTAGCTTATGGGGATTAATATGGGGACATCCTAGGGATATAGGGGTTATATAATGGCTATATAAGGGTTATATATGGTAATAGGATTAAGGGTCCCTATTAGGGGTCCCTCCTAAAGTCCCTAGATGAAAGGAATGACAGAGGAAATCTACATTAATCGACAGCGTTCCTGGGGATTAGATACTGATGACCATAGGGATCCACTATTCCCTCAATAGTAGTTTCCATTTTACTTTCCATCATGCAATATAAGCCTAATATTACCCCAATGGGTACCTATATCCCCTAAACCCTAATCCCTAAACCCTAAACCCTAAACCCTAAACCCTATCCCCTAAACCCTAGTCCCTAAACCGATATCCTTTTGGCTTCCTTGGCCCTTGTTTCCCTAACAGGCACCAAAAAGTTTACCCGGTCTCCATCCACACCAGCTGCCAGCGGCATCACATCGGTTTAGGGTTTAGGGTTTATAGGGTTTAGGGTTTAAGGTTAGAAGCATCTGAGTCCTGCACCCACCTTCCAGAAACTGGTTGACAATGCCGAAGCCATACCTCAGTGCCAAAACTTGTTGACTTATCACACCACCGCCGCAAGGACGTGATTTAACATTTGGGAATCTGGCTGCAGCGACAGAGCAAGAACCCCAACCGCACTCCAAACGGAGAAACGGCCGCCAACCTAAGCAGCTGCCAAGGATTCCAAAATCGGAAGAAGGTGCGCCACAGTAGAGCTGCAAGCTGTCCCTTGAGAGGCGAACCCAGTCCCAGAACCCGAAGACATTGTTCGAGTCAATACCAAAGGCCTCTTCGACTTTTGCGCAAGAGGCGCAGGGTCACAAGCAGCCGGCAGGCTTTTTTACGGCGTTTGAGACTTGAATCCAAGCCTGGGTCTTGTCCAAGGCTGTTGAGCAGGCCACGACATGCTTTGCAACGCCTCATGAACAGCCCATGAATTTCAGTTGTCTGAGCGGCAGTTATAGGCAGCCGACAGTCCGCACTGCCAAGCTCCTTTACGAGCCACGCCTGATGAGAGCCAACGTGGCCGTTCCTCAAATCGCTCTAAACTTAGCGTTGCCTTGACGGTCTTGGCATTCAGCATAGTCTCGGCTGTTGTGAAGGTCTTTGAGATAATCACGACCTTGATGCTCCAAAGCTAAGCAGAGTGTAGGGGGTTTCCGAAATCCCCCATGTACAACCGGGAATAGTTTTTGTACGTCCCTGATCCCCATATACCCCTCGACCCTGGGGCCCAGGGTATTGAGAAACCGCCATGTGTGTATCTGAGAGACCAACCAAATTGAAAGCTGAAAGGGCCCGGCCAGCGTGGTTTCAGCGTTCAATCCCTCTAGGGCCTCAGGAGCGCTGGACTTCCATCAGCTGCAGTGCTCTTAACCCTAAGCCCTAAACCCTAAACAACGAAATCATGTTCAGGAAGCTATCCATCAGCAGGTCTATCACATCCCAAGTATCTGACGCGCTGAACATCGATGGGGTCCACGTTCGCCAAAAAGCGGAGCTTCCGACCATCGGCAGCTGCCGCTGCCTAAGGATTTGGGGAGTCCTTACAAGGGACAACAATTTCCTTTAGGGTTTTAGTGTTTAGGGTTTAAGGTTTAGGGTTTAGGGTTTAATCAATATGGGCTATGTATATATACATATACACTTGCGTGATTCACATTAATTGGGTCCGACTTTTGGATCCCATCCTCTGAGTGCGACAAACGGCTGTGGCCAAGACCTGCGGGTCGGTCTTCAGAGCTTCATAAACGAACTCCACGCCCAAGTAAGAGCCGCCGATCCTGCCGGGTTAACTCTTTGGGAGTTTGAGTTTAGTTTGCTTTTTGTTGGTTTAGGTTTTTGGTGTTTGGGGTTTGAGATTTAGGGTTTGGGGTTTAGGACATAGAGGTCCCCTTATACATAATCCTAAGTGATATGGATACAGTCTAGATGTCATGTTCATTATAAACCTTCCATATGATCTCTACAAATCTCACAACAGTCTCTAGTCTCTAGAATCTCTACAATTTGCCTCAACTCTAGAAATCTCGAACTAATCCCTGATTGAAAGATCCCTATTATGGGTTTTCGACAATTCGTTGCATCGGGCCTCATATCCGAGCAAATTATCTCATTTATCATTGATCACCGAGGCCCAAACCCAATCACACCACGCAACAGGGAGGAGGCAGCGCGGAACCATACATCCACAAATAGCCATAGACCCGAAACCCTGAACCCTAATGAAGACTCCCTAGTTCTCGCAAACTCCGTATGGCAGTTTCCCGCACCTCGCGAAATCCCTATTGAGGAATCGCAATTAATTATCTCCTTAACCTTACGGCGGATCTCCTGTATCTCTACGGCTGATGAAGGAATTCTTTCACGACTTAGAATCCCCAACATACTGTATTTCATAGGGTATAGGTATATAGGGTGGTGCAAGATTTCTTCCATCCAAAGGAGGGTGCCCCAGGGGTGCAGCTATGTTGAGCAAGTCCCATATTTGTGCAATGCAAGGCAAGTGACTCATTAGCTGTGAACCCTACACCCTGTACCCTAAACCCTAACACCATGGCCAACATTCCCGTGGCAGTATCACACGAGTACAAATAGGGCGGCTTCCCAGAGGACCCCCTCACATAGGACACATAGGACACATCCCCTAAGAAGGGCCCCTGAAAGGCCATAGTTTGAATCAAGTATGGGGGAACCCGGCCTTTGTGTACCTGAAGAAGAACAAAGGTCCGAGGCCGCGACCCAATGCAGACCACGTCCGTTAACGATTTCCCTGTGAAGCCTTTCCATTCGCCTGAACGGACCTGCCGCAGCATGCACTTCTTAGTTGCCACCGCCACCTTACTCGTCCAACAGTTGGAACCCTTTCCCGTTTCTCCTCCTCTGATTCCTCCTCTTCCTCCTTCCTCCTGCACTCTCTGTTTTTCATGTCATGGTGGTGGTGGTGGTGGTGGTGGTGGTGGTGGTGGTGGTGGTGGTGGTGGTGGTGGTGGTGGTGGTGGTGGGTCTGCGGAGCGTTGTTCAAGGGATGCTGCCTTGTCGGAGAATGCCTTCATGGCGTCCAAGACCTTCCAGACCTCTCCAGGCAGGGTGCTCCGTTCAAACATTTTTAGGAGAAGAGAATAATGGGCTTAGAGTAGGCGTGCAATGAAAAGACCCATAAAAGACCACTCTGCAGTGGCCCCAATTAGTGATGCGACATCTAAGCTGACAGCACCAATACCAACGCTGCAACTGTATCCCTAAACCTTGAAACTTAAGCCCAGCGAAGCCAGAACTCATGCCTACAGCCAACTCATTAAAAGATTCCTTCCCAGAATGTATGGCAAGGTAGGCCTTTGCAATTAGGGCCTTCTGAAAACCGTCTCAACACTTGAGCAAAAGCCGGACCCCTGGTGATTTCTGGAAGTGACCTCTGAATAGACCCGCCAACTACCCTCCATTAGGGTCTAGGTACTAGGTACCTACTTTCAACGGCCATGTAATCCCCATTAAATTTACTAGGATGGTCTTGGTAGAGATGAACTATTGTCTCAACTCCCAGTATACCCTCTAGTAACCCCTATACTATAATAGTCCCCTATGCAACCGCCCATATAACACCCTTTCAGGAGTTCAGACTAGCAGCCCCCGAAACACAGCCTCGGGAACCACATTCTGTCCATCCACAGAAATTGATGCACTGCGGGGCGCCCGAAGTGCCACATGCAGGACCTCACAAGACTCTTGCCGAATGCCCGAAAAAAGAGAAGAAGATTGTCTGAAAATTCTGGTCGAAGGGATTGAAGTATTGATGCTTTTTCTTCTCGCAGGCCCTGTCCACCACTGAGACATCCCTGCAAATGTTTACTAGGCCTAGATTGAAGATTCACATCGGACCTGCTGACTCAGGAAAATAAACCCTAAATCCTGAAGACTCCCCCCAAGCCTTCAAACCTAACCCCTAAACCCAAAACCCCAAACCTAAACCCTAAACTCCAAACCCTGAACTCTAAACCCTAGAATCTTTAGAGGGTCAGCTTTGGCCTGAGAGCACCAGTCTCAATACACCTAATACTGCGAGCATTACGATTATTACTACTCACACTATTCATACAACTGTTAAAATTGTTATTATCATTATTATTACCACTACTACAACTATGATGCCTATTATTCTTGCTATTGCTTGAAACCAGAGGGCTCCTTTCCGCCTGCACGAAGCTCCCCTAAAGTTTAGGACGCAGGGTTGAGGGCTTAGGATGAAGCAGAAAGTCGCTACACGGTTTAGGGTTTAGGGTTTAGGGTTTAGGGCCTAGAGCCTACTCTGCTGAGAGTTTGGCATCATACCCAGACCCCCAAAAGGATCTAGAAAATAGATCCCCTAGAACCATAAAGTTTATATACTGGATATAATGGGCTTATATAGGGGATCTAATTTTTAGATCCTCCCAGGGGTCTCGATAGAAGCGAAAGCTGCACGTTGTAGCTCCAAGCAATGCAAGACAACCCTTAAAAACTGCAGGAAGGGTTTAGGGTTTAGGGTGTTATATATGGAGATAAATGGAAAAGAAAATGGAAACTGCTATATTATAAAGTGGATTTTCTCATGGCTCCCTAGGAGAACTAGGAGAACCTTTGCCCCATTGGGGTAATGATACCACCCGTCACCCCCTCAGGGGATTATTACTGTACTGCCCCTGCATCTCCGTCACATAAGCGAGCACGAATACGTCACGAGAATAGTCAATGAAAATATTGCCATCTGCATCTCTCACAGTCTCCCAACGTCCCGGTGCAAACTAAAAACATCTACGTTGTACACCCACCCAGACCCCTGGGAGGATCTAAAAATTAGATCCCCTATATGGACCCATTCTAACCCCTATATAATCCTTGTATAAGTTCCCCCTATGGTTCTAGGGGATCTAATTGTTGGATCCCTTTTGGGGGGGTCTGGGCAGGAGAGAACCCTTCCACCGAGGACACCAAAAGCAGATTCACCTACAAGGCATGAGCTATAGTCTACACTCCTTTCAACAGGGTTATAGATTTAGGGTTTAGGGTTTAGGGTTTAGGGTTTAGGGATTATGTAGGGGAGTAGTATAGCTAGGGGTATACTAGGAGTTTTGAGAATCCATGAATGCCAGGATCATCCAGCTTAATATTGCTTGCAGGAGCAAGTTCAGCACAAGCACCTTGACAACCCTAACCCTGAACCCTTGGTGTCTCCACGATTTACACCCGAAAGCCCACAATCGCCTTTGCCCGTTGCGGGATGATGGTTGAGGTAATCGGTTGCTCCTATGTTCCTATAGTGGGAATAGGGAAATTTGGTGATACGTCAGGGGAAATTGTAGGTTGGAAGAAATGTGAATAATCCTCTAATAAGGTCACTGCTGGTACTACTACCCAAAATGGGCAAGGGTTTTGATCACTAAGAGTACCTTTACCGAAGCCTAATTAAACCCTAATCCCATACCTTAGGTTGGTCCCCCCAACCACTGATACTGACCATAAGAGGTAACGGTTACTATATTCGAGGCACTCTATCTGTATATATATATATAGATATGTGTTTTTGTATACTCCTAGCATAATTACCATGTATATTCCAAGCATACCACTATGAAAGTGGTTGGGAACCTAACCCTAAACCCTAAACAGACTCCCACTTGAGTCTCCCCGAGCTTCTGGCAGCTCTGCCCTCCGTCTGATTGATTTTCTCGCCCGCAAACCTGACACCGGTTAGGGCTTAGCGTTTACTTGGAGGTTCGCAGGACTTAGGAACTACTTATAACGGGGCATGTAACCCTACTTAGAATCCCACTACCTGGAGCTATGTAGGTTACTCCAATTATAAGTAGAGTTATCATCCCGGGTATGAGTAATTACTAAATCTCATGAAAATCCAAGTAAGGTTTAGGGACACAGCACTACCCAAACCCCAAAGGCATCTATCAAAATTGGGAGGGGTCTGTCAAAGCCTTTTAGGGCTCCTGTATGCACTTCGAATAGCTGTCTCTAAGAAGATTACGCAGATGTTAAGCCCGATACCTACTACCCACTATACCCCAAATGATGCCATCAGCCCCATCATTGAAA